TTTTTTTTTTTTACAGGATACACTTCATTAAAGTTGCTTAATGTACCATTTCTCATTTTGGAAGTCCTTTATTGTAAAGATAATTCTTTTGTCTGAGGACAAACAGCAGCCACACGGCCAGTGATTATTCTGGACCTCCACGCTGAAAAGGGGTGGGAAAAAAAGCAGTAAGATTAGGTATTAAACTTACACAAGAAATGTTTTCATGGCACTAGACAAATTTATACAGCCTTAATAAGCACACGGTTTTAGAAAACTATTTAGAGCAAACTCTTTGTACACTAACTTTTTAAATTATATTTTTCAGGTTTTTCACAGTTTGGGGGTACTCATAGAACTTGTGAAAACATAATTTCTGATCTGGAGGAATTTATGGATGACCTAGATCACTGGTTCTCCGAATGCTCACTATGATAAATTATGTAGGACTCCAAAACGTGGTTGTTGTATTGTATGACACATCATTGTTGCTAAGTGCCACTGAGTCCATTTTGATGCAGTGACCGTTTGTGACAAAGCAGAACTGCCCCATAATGTTTACAGAGATAGACAGCTACGTCTTTTTGCAGAAGAGCCAACATAAAGGCAACAGTTTCAAACCCATCTTGTCTTCTACAGTGGAAAGATGAGGCAGTCTTCTCCCATAAAGATTCACAGCCTCTAGCCTCCAATAAAACGATTAAAAAAAAAAAAACTCACAGGGGCAGTTCTACCCTGTCCTATAAGGTCAAAATACCCCACCCTACCCCCCCAAAAAATATTTACAGCCTCTAAAATCTCCGGGGAAAGCAGGCTTAATCTGCCCTATATGGTCACTAGGAGTTAGAACAGACTGATGGCAGCAGGTTATCATTATGAAAGTAATTTTGATCTTGTGGACCTGAAGGGGTCTGCGGCCCAACTATTGAGAACTGATAGCCAAGAATGTATCTTGCTGCCAATTAGGACAATGGGGGCAAGTAAAAGGCTTTATTTAATCCAACATTCTTACACACAACATTATTGCCTTTTGCAGGTTGTGACATTCTGGCTACTTTTGAGAAACTGATGGACAAACTAAAACAAACAAATGCATTGCCACTGGGTTGATTCTGATTCATAGTGATCGGATGTAGAGTTTCTGAGGCTTTACTGGAGCCCCTCCTTCTCCCTTGGAGCAGCTGGTGGGTTTGAATCACCGACCTGGTAGTTAGCAGTTCAATGCTTACTAGGAAGAACCACCAGGAATCCTAAATTGGGTGAGAAAACTTGAATTTTGGAATACTTCTAGGGGAAAATGAGTAATTTCATACAAAAATAAAGTGTCATCCAGTTGGGAGCTGAAGTTTAATAATAGGATGGATCTATAATTGGTTTTGAAGTATCTACAAGCAAATAGCTATATAGAGAATTCTTTATAAAAATATACCTCTTACAAAAGCTGAATAAGCTCTGGGTTAGTTTTATTTTTATTGTGCATTTCTTATGAAGTCTTTTTTTGTTCTGTACTTGGACCAAAGGTCAGCTTTTCCGGTTTACCTATCTCCTTCTTCTAAATAATGGAGTTTAACGGTTTGAAATACACATATAGGAGCTACTGGCCAATCAGAATTCTATCACTTAAAACATTTTAATCTTGTTGAAATGTTTTTTCAATCCTTCCCCCATTACAAAAGTGGTAAGTGCTCACTGTATTTTAAAAAAACTAGCATTAAAGAATGGATAATGTGCATGCCATCCAAGTAGAATTTGTCAAGCTCTTTTTTATTACCATCTATTGTCATCCCTTTAACACCCAGAGCATTTACTTTCAATATCACTCTGTAATAATTGCATGTGTCTCTTCTGTTGTCTTTTGTCATAATTAGGTAAGTATTCTTACCTATCTTTTCATCCCCATCTTATTTCTAAATGCTTTGAGGCCAGCACCACAGCTTATTTTCTACGTATCCTCCACAATTCCTAGTCCGCTAATAGGGTGGGAGAAGGAACACAACGGCAGAACTCAGAGGTTTATGACCCAACCAGTTACCAGCCATCATCCGCAAACCCTCCTAAGGCAACATGCGTTTATTGTACATAGCTCAGGCCAAAACCTCACTTTTTTTTTCTCTCTAAGGTTTATGGAAGACCATTTTATTAATATTTACTTGGAAGGCTTAATTTATTTTTTAGGGTTTTTTCCCCCAACAGCTTTAATGGCATATAATTCACATATCATACAATTCAGTAGTTCAGTAGTTGTACAGTCATCATCACAATCGGTTTTAGAACATTTTTTTATTCTTGTACTCATCATTATTAGCTCTC